GTAGTTCGAACTTTGCGTTTGACTTTGTTTTGGCGCGTCGTGACCAGCATTGTGGATGGAGTGATGGTCTCTGGTGGTTTGATTGACGTTTAGTTTATGGTTGGGATGCAGTGAACATTGTCGTCGTCCGACGGACGCCCACAGTTTATGCTACGGACCAACGGGCCGTATAATACGATGGTTACGACGTTATGCAGTGTGATGGCACAGCCGTATCAACAAGCTCATTGGGAGCTTACGCCGTGCGCGATCCAGGAGAATGGCTTCTTCAAAATTAAGCCAACAACTTTAATGCCAGAAAGTGGCCGACTAATTATTTGTGGTTATTGCCCGCCAAACACTCTACATGCGCTTCCAGATCAGGGTACCTGTGAACGACCGCACGTGACCTCGTGCATAAGGCGAGCAGAATGCGCGTGGGATGATGCGTACCTTGGACCGCTATAGCGCCGCACCGGCTCACGGCATCCTCATCCAACGACGAACGTGAAGATGACGTCGGGGGTCACTATGCGCGCTCACACTCTTTTGTGCATCCCACAGTATATCCCACAAAGTCCTTGTCGCGTTTCTTCTGGCACGATCGCAAAGTTTTCACTGTCTCCGGCCTAGAGGCAACTTCTGCCTAATAACGGGGCGCGGTCAAACCCCAGATCTACCGCTGTCAAGTTTCATGCCTCCAAGTCGGTGCTTGTTCATACTATTTTAACCAGCACCATAACAATGATTGAGCTATAATCGCGATGCATTTGCCTTGTTGGATTATTTCTTTAAAGCTCATGTCAATTGAACTGCTCTATGTATAAATGCGCGTGTACTGGGCCTTGCGACTACGCACGCCGCGAAGCACAGTGCCGAAGACGAGCACAGCGAGCGCAAATACAGCCAAGAGGACACCGGCGTCGCGCGACGTGCGCGATTGCCAGAGCGAGAGACCGTCCGTCGACGTCACGGCGCCCGTCAAGTACTCGAGATCGTCCACGGGGAACTTGAACGTCTTGCAGACGTCATCACCAAAGATAAAGCACTCGAACATGTAGAGCGCATGGAGCGGTCGCGTCGCCGGCACCATATGGCCCGCGCCCTTGATCGTCGTAAACGTGAGGTTGGTGTAGCCCTCCGTGTAGCCCGCGAGCTGCTTGTCCGGGCCGAACCACGCCTTCCACTTGCT